TACGCTGAAACCTACAGTGTATAGATTTCAGGCACTACCAAGTGTGAGGGAATTTGTAGTTTCTTTCCCAACCTACTCTTCCTCTGCTGCTTCTTTCTTAGCACAGATGGATATTGAGAAAGAATTAGCAGACCAAGCAATTTGGATTGAATCAAAATTGCATTCTATCCTATAAGTCTACATGGTCATGAAATCTGCCCAGTTTTCCTCCTGTCTGTAGCAGGTCCATCTCATACCACACACTCACTTAAGATAGGAGAATCACTAGAACTCTCTTACATGAAGCTCTGGTTCTCTCTAGAATCAATCAAAACCTCTTTCCCTCTCCTGGACTTTCCCTCCCGCCAAAGTTTGGTCATTATTTTGTCTGTGTTTTTCTTGTTTCCATGGGAGTGGTCATTTGTGCACTGGTCTTTGTGCAGCACTGCACTTCTGCATCCTAGCAGAAGCTTCTCACGTGTGTCAGGTTTCAAGGAATGACAGATGGTGAAAGACCTCTTTTCTGGTGCCCCACCTTTCCCAAGTCAGGAGCTCCAGAGATTCAGAGCCAAATCTAACCTGGGACGTGAAACCATTCTCAGTGCACAAGGAGGTTTGCTAAATGACAGTGACAAACGCAGTCACTCCATGGGCAGATCCCAGCCAAGAAAGCTTTACTGGCATTGGCACCCCTGATGCTTTCTGAAGCTCTTTGCTTTCTCCCCTTTATTAGATTCAGTGGCCAGAAGTTCCCAAAGCATGTCCAAAGTTCAGCATTTCAGATCATTGGGAAATAATCACATGTTTGTCATCTGTCTGGTTGATGTTCTGCAATCCATGAAACACATGCTTCAAACTGGTTCTTTTACAATACCACTGTGGACTTCTGCACTTCACAAATATCCCCAGATGCAAAGAATAGCTGGGTAATTATGGATGCCTTTCACCTGCTCCTAAAATTGCTAATGGGGTTTTCGAGTGTCAGGAAATAAATGCATCTTCTCTTAGCACGTCAAAGAAAACTCAACTGCCTTCCTTCACTTTTTAAAATAATTTTCTAGAAACCACATCCTTAACAAAGGTCATAAAAAGAATGTTAAATACAGTTATGCTGAGGGCTAATCAGCACCTTCTGTAGAGAGTGCTGCTTGTGGTATAATGGTTAAAATTTAAAAATATATTTTGAATTGATCAAATGGGACATTTTGTGATAAATTGGATTTGAGGCACCTTCTTCTTCAAGTATGTTTATAACATGGAGTGAGCTTTGGTCATTTCTAACTTTTCATAGGGTCATTCCCAAAGTACAGGTCCAGCTTTTCTTAAAGGCTCACTTGCGTTGGCCTCATGATGAATGCATACAGTTTGTCCAGTGGCATTATTATTGCATGAATGAAGAGATACGATGCTCTCAGTGATAGGCACCCCTTGGAGTGCCTTATCTCTATTGCGGATGCCAGACTGGTCCTACAGGAAGTGTCTTGCTAGATTTATAGTTACCTGCTTCCTTCTTAATTCCATTAGGGGACAGGAAAGTATTGAATGCCTATTGTATACAATCTCCAAAAGATTGAAGAGGAGATGAAATGTCAGCCAAAGACCCTTTGCAAATGTGTGCCCCCATAAATAAAAGGGCTGTGGACCAAGGATATGATTGATTCTGTGTAATTGTAAAAACAAATCGCTTTATGTGCTTAGTGCTGTACTCCTGGGACAATTCCCGGGACCTCTGTGGAAGGGGTGGAAGGATAGGAAGGAACTCTTTCTTCCAGGAATTCCTTTATCATGTCACACTGACATGCAGAACTGCAACATATTAAAGTTGGTTTTCATTTTGTGCTTTCCGTTGTTTCTTCACCTCAAGAAGATGCTTAATGATCAGCAAAGACAGTATTTATAAAACTTACGGTATCTCAAACTATACTATAGACGCAGTACAACTGTTCCTGTTGAAGGCCATGGGAAAGGTTAAAGAGCTAAAAATTCTAGACATGGTGTGTCACAGATGCCATTAGCTCAATCTGTGCACTTGAATTCTTTCTTTACTGGTGTTTTTGGTGAGTGCTTCTATCTTAAATTAGTCAAGAAAAATAAACTAACAATCTTAGTCATTTTTAATGAAATGATCCGTAAATATCTGATAGTATCAGACCAATAATACCTATATTAAAAGCAATCTCTTCTAATTTTCCACCTTGATTTGACATACAAATTTTACTTTCTTTGCATATTTCTTCATTCCATAAGAGTGATTATTTCTAATATATCTGTCCTGGAATTTCCATTTTCAAAACATTAAAATATAGAATAACAACTAAGAAATGAAAAAGGAATTTTGCTTCTAAACAATGTGACTAAGACCTGAAAGTATATCTTGCCAGTGTCTCCTCTCTGGCCAGATGGGGTTAATATTTGAGCAGCTGAGCCATTTCCTGGGAAGCAAGGAGTCTGTGGATGTGGCTTATACTCCAGGAACAGCCAAACTCTTGACCTCTTGTTCCATCGATTCCTTGAGCAGCACACTATAGATCCATTCTGTAGAGGTTTTCCCCCAGCAAGCCTGAGAGAATTGAGGATCTATTACCTGCTTTCTGATGTTTCCTTCTCCAGTGCCACACTTGGATGACTCTGAAAGTAGAAATAGTCAGAAATCTTTCATAGATTTCATTTTTCATATTACTTCATTTCTTCATTCTTTCTGTGCATTCTAACCACGATATTATGTTATAGCAATGATCTCTTTTCCAAGTTGTGTATTATAATACCATCTATTGTGATAAAATTGTTAAATACATGGTGTTTTGATGAAAATGACTGTGGTATTTATACATATTACAGATTTTTAGTTAAAATTGCTATATTATATTGATTAAAGGAATTAAATGTAAAAACAGTATGACAAAATTGAAATTTTCTAGCCATTTCAATACAAAAGGAAAAGACAACATTCAACTTTCATTGTTTCCTTCATTATCTTTTGTGTGTGTGGGTGCTGCTTCTACTAGAAAATGCATCTTAACAATTTTACCTTAAGGGTAAATTGTATGAGGTCAATGATAAAGACCTACCATGTATCTGTGAGGAGGTGCTTTATTGGAATATAAATGGGAAAGGCTTTCCAGAGTTTGTGTGATGTCAAAAGTATATTTATGGTAGTGCATGTAACCATTTTTATTAGTTGGATTTTTCTATTGAGAGAATAATGTACAGTCTTTTCTGGTGTGGCACAAAATGCAAATTTGGCTGAAACATGACTCCTTGCTAAAACTTTGCCACTAGCATGGAAACTTCATGAATGCAAAGCTTAGATCATTGTTACCAGCCAGATTCCTGTCACAGAGCACTGATGCAATTACTTGTCAAATGCTTTGAATCTTACACTCATACATTTATATGTACCCTGTAGCATCCACATCCACATTTTTATGTTCGCTCATTTGATTATATCATCAATTTTGTGAGAAAGACAGGACACGGCTATCCTATGAATGAAATTGCAGTTCAAGTAGATTCTGATAGAACTAGGATAGGAAGGGGTCTTAGAAATCATAATAGTCCATTGATTATATGCCAATCATGACTCAACAAATATTAATGTAATTGGCCAGTCCTTATGCTAAATACTTTATCTTAATTACCTTCTTGAGCTTTGTAACAGCCCTAAGATGAGCACTATTTTTTTAATTCCCATTTTAGAGATTAAGAAACTGAGATAAAGCAAAGGTAACTGACTTACTTGAGACTACATAGTTCGTGTCAAAACTGGTATTTAGGCTTAAACAGTAAATTCATAGTCAGAGCTTTGGTTGTACTAGTCACTACTTAAAAGGTTTATCAATGTGGATAACTGAGCCAACCTAAGTACCATGATGCTTTCTGAATGGTTTAAGGTACTTGCTGTTATTATATGAGGTGCTTGTTGAATGTTTGTGCGAGTTTATAAGCTGAGATGACTATTACTATAGGTATGATGTAGCCAGGAATTTCAGTGCAAGCCAGTAATCCCAGCACTCAGGAGGTCAAAACAGCAGGATCACAAGTTTAAGGGCAGCCTGAGTTACATAGTGAGACCCTGCTTCAAAAAGGAGGGGAGGGAGCACTGGTTAAAGAGACATGCAAGAAGGGGAAAGGAGAGATGGTAAGAGACATGGAGAATAAGATGTGCAGGTTTCTCCAAGCCTAGTGAAGGCATTTGGGTGCTCTTCCTTTATAGAATAGGCTCCTTCTGGTGATAGTGAATGGCCAGGGCAACTGGATATTTGCAAGATCAGGTCATACCTACTGTCCTGTAAAATGTCTGTCGTCAGAGGAAAGACTGCCAGGTGCCAAGCAAGTGAGAGCCTCGTGGCAGGGGACTCTTCATTGGAGTCAGTGGTGTGGCTTTTTAACATGTTAAGCAGCCTGTACTAGTATAAGTGCTTGGAAGTTGAAGTGCTCCTCTCCTAGACTTGATCAAGAATCTACAGCAGCTAAGAACACACTGGAAGAGCTCTTGCGTTTGAGAGAGTAGGGACAGAGGAAGTTTCACTATCAGTAAGTGCAGTGGGTGGGAATGTTAGAATTGCATGATTAGGATGCATGCAAGAGTTCCAAACGTGTATTGATTGCAGTGATGGTGCCATAGGCATGGAGGGACAGAACCATTCACAGTACTCTCAGTGTATAAAATCAAAGGCTAAACTCCATAGTGATGAAGTAACAAATCACTGTACCTGGACTCTCCTCCATCTTACTGGGAGTTTGCTGCATGGCCTTGGACAAGTCATATCACCACTGAATCATTACTGCTATCTGGGCTGTAGTCTGCTTGTTGAATGGTACATCCAGTCACCCTCAAGATAGATAGGTACATTTATCAAATGCTGTTTATATTTTTCAAGTACATTAATTAAAAGATGCTTAATGTATACCACTTTAATCTTAGTTCTATATTCATGATCATTTTGGTACTTCTGACGGTATTGAATACCAACACTCTTCCCAAGACTTACTCTTCCTCACTGAGATTTTCTTTTCTATAGAACAAATTGGCCAAGAGATGTTGGAAAACCTTAGTCATGACAGAGAGAAGATACAGCGAGCACGTGAACGGGTAAGTCCAGGTGATACCATCTTTTCACATGTTGTAAATGAGAAGATATAAAATAAAAGGTCATTGGGATCAATGCAGGATCGTAACAACAGCACAAATGTCAGGACATATGTATAAGAATGGCTATGGCAAGCAAAGGGTGCTGAGTGCTAAGAGAAAGCAGAGGTGTGTGATGGATGGTAAAATGCTGGCTTTCTCATTCCAGAATGGCCCAGGTAAGCATTTCATCTAACTCGATGGCAAAGAAGGTCATCAAGGGAGATGCTGAAGTAGGACAGTCTTTCAGAACAAAGGTTGTAAAAATACACTTCGTCCTTCCTCAGCTTCATTTTGTTTCCATTTATATTTAAAGGACTTTGCCCATTCATATATTAAAGATCAATTACCACACAAATGTTAAACCCTGTCCTACTGTGGGGTGTTTGCTTTTATATCCAGTTCAAGTATCCAGTTTAAAGCTCATGGGATCCCCTCATGTCTTTCTCTGACTCTAAGACTCAGAGTCTGTGTAAGAACCTGATTAATGTTTGCGGTGGGGTGGGGAGGCATTTTTACTGTCTGACTTTTCTATCATGAAATAAAGTTTTTGTTGCTTGGGCATATTAGAATAATTACATGACGTTAGTTTCATTTTCTTCTGTTTCCACCATGTTTTTCTCCCACTTAGCTTCGGGAAGCTGATGCAAATTTAGGGAAAAGCTCGAGGATTCTGACAGGGATGCTGCGAAGGTAAGAGCCAGGTAGGGCATGATCTTCTGTTTCTCTGTAACTGTTTTCTCATTCAGTTGTGGTGGGGCATTTTACAGACTTGTGAGCTTTGCTTCTTCCTTCATAGGCTGTGTCAGCACCTTTTGAAAGACAGAGCATTGATTTTAACCCTTTTTTGTCAGAGACATAGTGAGTATTTTAGATGAGAAACAAGCCCTCAGCTAGGGGGATTACCTCCAGCTATGGAAAAAATTAGGGTTAGACAAAAAGCGTATTTTCATAGCCTGAGGAAGGCCCATGGCAGGAGCAGACTGACTTTGCCTTCTGTTGTGAGAAAGGAAGTGCAGGCCTGCCATCATCCGGAGCTCACGGGGTATCAGCTTCGCTCACTGGTGCCTTGTTTCCACTGTTGAAAGGGAGGCCGCTTGGGGAAGCATCGTGACTTCATGTGTACGTGGTTTGTAAAATGTCATGATTATCAGAATAATCTTAATTCACCTGTGCCCACAACAAATCTTTAATTATTAAACTGTGACTAAGCTTTTGTTGATGGAAAATACTCAGGAGAGAATAAAAAGATAAATAAGCAAGAGTAGGTAATGGTCTATAAGTAGCTCAGCACAGAATTACTTTACAGTGAGAATCTACCAAGTGAAAGAAAATACCATCTACCATGGTCACATCAGTTTGTTGAAAGTAACCCCTAACATAGGAATTTGTAAGAAAAAAATTTTCTTTCTAGTTACTACTGTAGAGACAACTATTTTTAAATGACAAACATTCTTTGATCATGCGGTTACGGTGTATGGTAATTGCTAAAGCTATGTTTGCTGTGTCATACATTCATTGTGTAAGAACCAAGTCAATGTATAATTGTTCGTCTTCAGGGCCGATGTCATTTATCTATCAGCCCAATCAGTAGTGAGCCCAAAGTTCTAGGACATTGCCAACCAAGTGTCTTTATTGTTCTTTCTCCTGAACACACCAACCCAACTCAGAACCATAAACTGGCAGATTCTCTGATTAAGAGCAGTATGTAAATGACTTCAGAAAACCAGAGAATCCACAGAGAAGAGCCCTGGCAATTGAAAGGAATGCTTCAGTGTCTAAAGACAGTAAGAAAGAAAGAAAGAAAGAAAGAACTAGGGAAGCTTCTCTTCTTCCCTGGGAGGGCCCTGCCATGTGAGCTGTAACGAATACTCTGCATATGTCTCCGTTTTGTCAAATCTCATTAAAGAGTCTTCCTGCTTTATGTCAATTGAGCTGGCCAGAAATCATTCATCATTTTTAGTGTAAAAAAAATCATGTGGTTATTTAAATAATATCATATTAATGTTAAAGTTCAGCTGTCATTTAATGGTATGGCTTAATCAGATGTAGCATTTAGGGAAAATAGTTTATTCGGGCTCTTGGTGGCTCTCAGGTTGGCAGATTCAAATAAGGATTTATGGCTTTCTAAACCAATATGTTTCTGGCCAAGTTTCTGCTTGATGTACCTCACCTCTTAGTGTAGGACACTCTAGACAGTTATCTCAACAAATAAAGCATCCCCTCATACTGTGTTTGAATAAATTTGCAAGTCATTTAGAGAGGGTGAAGCACAAACAACTTCTTCAACCTTTGGGCTTTCTGGAGGGAACTCACACTCCCACGACGGCTTCGGATGTCTGTGGAAGAAAATGACTGGTGACATCTACTTGGGCTTTCTTTTATAGGCAAATTCAGTCTATCGCTGACTCCTCTCCTTTTACAAAGTGTCCAGAGGTTGAACAGGAATGAAAATCTCCAGATGGACATCACCTTTCTCTGCCTGAGCCAAGGATACTGTTAATGTCCACTGGTGTTTTATATGGGAAAGTATGTTTCACTACACACAGTAAGGACGTGGGTATCTGCCAAGACCCTGGGGTACTTTTGATCAGTGCTAGAATATGACTCAGTCTTTGGGAACCAAATGCATAGTACTGGTTTCAGTTTTCTTTCTAATTACTATCCCACATGTCATTTAGTCGATTTGCAACTTGGGAAAATGCAAACATTTTACCAATCACTTGATTATTTGGTAGTTATTCCCTTAAAAATGGTCTCTTGAGAAAGGAACCAGTGCTTCTGTGCTAGTTTTTACCTGAAGCTCTGACGTTGCATGCAGTGTTCCATCCTTCCTACTAGCGTGCCAAGGCATGGCATTGGCTCCCAGCACTGAGGAGGTTCATTTCAGAAGAAGCCATGTTCTCTGACCCTGGTTCATACTAATACTGCATGACCACATTATATGGCAACAGGTGATTTCAGAAAGAGTCTGATAGTGGACCTTGTGTTCATTGGTCATCTTCACAATTGTATACTTAAGTGAATGTCCTGTTTGTACAGTTTATTTACCTACACACAGCATAAGCTTACTGGTTTTCTTATGGTAAATTCTTTGTGGCTGAGAATAAAAACAAAGGAAAATATTCTCATAAAGAAAGATTACAGGTTGTTCTCATTTTGTTTTTAAATTTGTCCTGCAGACATGGCAGGACATCATCCCTCATTTGGATCACATTACTCACAGTGATTAGTCTGTCAGGAAGACAGGCAGAAGCCATGTTTGTCTGCATCACAGTCTGTAACTATGTCCACTTGGTCATCTATGAGACTGACCAAAATAACTAAGCAACAAAGTTTACAAAATCCACTAACTTCTAAATAACCGTCTGCCTTCCGTGCCCTTAAATCTTTGGTCAACTTCTTTCTTCCTCCCTCTTTTCTTGTATCAATCTTTTCTTTCTTCTTCAGTAATATTTAATGCCTGTTTATACAGCCCAGGAATACTGAAATACAAACACATTTTTCTTTGCCTATATAATGTTTCAGCACAGAGAGAATGTGTGCACAAACTAATGCTGTAGGAATTCGCAAAATTATCCAGTTCTCAAAGAAGTTACTCTGATTCTACAACTTTGATTCTCCCTTGCACATCATTTAGAAGGACACAGAAAAACAGATAGCCAGTAGAAAAATATGATTTAAGTGACTTATAAAAATAATATAATGGGGAAAATTGGGGAAATAGAATATGATTTATGTAATCATAACCCCCCAAATGTTTTTCAAGGAAAAAGGTAATATGGAAAATATTGAGACGCCAACTGATCCAGCCAAAAGAAGTTCTTTTTCATATACTTGCACTGTCTTACCAAAGAGAGAAAACAAAGGAGAAAATTGGTCCATTCGAAATTAGAACAGTGAGACACGACAGCAGAGTGAAGCCATAGCTGAGTTCCTGGAAAGTAATTTTTCTTCTCTCTTGACATAGATGGAGAGCCACTTAGGGACAAACTGTTCGTTTCCTGCTCTGTAGACAGACTTTAAATAAAACAGAATTCATATAATAATGAAAATGGCCACAAAACAAATGGCCGTTCATGTGGTAACTGGGGCCAAGAAATGAATTTTTCATTGATGCTCATGAAATTTTATTATTATAATCGGTTATCCTAAAGTGTGATGAGCAGCACTTAGAAGTTTAAATGCATCTCTTCGTGTGCATGTATGCATACATGCATACCTGCATGTGTATGTGTGCATGTCTGTGTGTGTGTTTCCATACATCTCCCTGGAAATTCTTTTTGGTTTTGGTTTTTGTTTTTGGCTGAAAATTCTTATTATATCAAATAGTGGTAGCAATCAATAAATACAAAACTAGACATTTTCAAGATTTACTCAGAAAGAAAAGAAATCATGCTTCTATTCCCTTCATCTCTTAAGATGTAAATAATTATTCATAATTTATCAGTGATAGTATTTTTCTAGAAATAACTGGCTTCCTCAAGACTATAACAGAGGGGCAGTTTGGGAGCTCCGTTGGCTTGAACTTGGAGGACATGCCACAACTTTAAATGTCTGCTGCATCGTCTATGCTGATGAAAGGTTTACAGAGAGAAATGGCATGAATACTGTTTTAAAGCACCTTTTCCTATAATGAGCTGAGTGTCAGGATTTCCAGTGATTCTCACATATACAAAATCAGAACAATTCCTTAAAACACAAATTCTGTTTTCTTGTGGTATGAGTGTGGGACTTCTTTTAGGCATAGAGTTGCCAGCATGTCTTCGAACCTGTGGAATGAACAAAGCAGACAGTTATAAGTGCAGTTGACCCCCCAGCACTGTCCAGAATACTATTTAGTGTGTAGACATTTGTTACAGTTACTTCAGCATGAACAATAGCATCTTTCACTGCTGTCAATCATACATTATGCATTTGAGCATGGGCTTGTTGCTTTGGTACGGTGACAGGTAAAATATCTCTGAAACATAAATGTATGGTCAGAACAGTTCCTAGGGGCAGGGTACCAGAAATGCTGGTGCAAGAACAGCGTGCTGCAGAAAAGTATTTTCAAGATAACAGACTTGTTTTAAACAGACCATGACGAGAAGTTCAGGCTTCTTTAAAAGTTCATTCATTACCCTGACCTCATTTTTCTCAAGAAACATTTTGTTGTATTTTGATTGTTCGTATTTTAATGCCTAAAATGTAACAGTTTTCAAGACGTGTGAGAAAAATGTCCTTGACAATTTACTCTCAGTTTTTATGCATTGAAAAAGGCATCTTCTGGAAAATATAAGAGCCAGGGGAGAAGGCGCATGACCATATGGAAACAGAGACTTACAGGCTCCTGGGACCTTGCTCATATGAATTTACAGCATGGTGACAGCATGCACAAGACCCATGCAAACTCAAGCAGACAAAAGCCCAGCACAGAACTGGGGATATGGGCAGCAGGCCCCAATCTTAGCTGAAGAACTATAGATAGCTGATTACTGCTGGGTGAGGGAAAGCTGGTCTTCTTTAAGAGCGGGACTCTAGATAGGCTGACTAGACACCAGTGAATGAACTTGCAATGAGGGACGTCTGAGTACACTAATCTGACTGAATAGGCCGTAATATAAATGACAGAATACATGAAATCTGGGACAGTGGGAGGGTGCAGATGGAGAAGGGGGTGTAAAGATGATTAAGATGTTTTATATGAAATATACAAAAATAC